GGACCCTTCAAAGCTGCCCGTCACGAAGTTTCGTTAAGATCGGACAAAAACTAAGGTGTTTACGGCCAGCTCAAAAAAACGTTCCTTTAATTTTGTCCACGAGTGTACAACGACCACCTCGAGTGGTGTAACGTGGAGGCAGAACTTTACAGGATATTCCAGTTTTCCCCTGTCAGTGTCTTTGTGTTCACCCCTCCAGTGCTGCCCACCCACAGGTTTCCTGATGTGTACACTGTGGCAAAAAGGTACGGAAAATCCTGTTAATTTTTTTGCCAGGATTCTCCGTAGCCCTCTTATCAATATTCTCCGTAGGCTCTTACAGTATTCTCCGTAGGGCCGCACAGTATTCTCTGTAAATCCGCACAGTCTTCTCCGTAGGACCTCGAAGACTGTATAGTCCTACGGAGATCACTGTGCGGTCCTACGGAGAATACTGTGTGGTCCTACAGAAAATACTGTAAGAGCCTACGGAGAATTACCACAAGCTGTTTACAGAATTTTCCGTAGCTTTTTGCCACAGTGTACGTTGGCGAACCCTCTTACAAAGGTTTTCAGCTCCTGGGTGACAGCCAAATGCTCCGTTTTTCTCAAACATTTGGCTCTTATCAGCAGCAGCCTCGTGAGCGTTTTCCCAGGCGACTTGGTTTGTGCCTTTCTGGTCAACGCATGAAGAGTTTGCAGTTCATCATCCAGCCAGCCCAACTTCATCACTCTGTAATTGTTCTTATTGGCACAAATGATGTTTTGCAGCTCTACAAGTATGGTGGGGATTTCAGGAGGGCCATCCGCCACACGTTGAGGACCACTGTTCGCCAACTGGGCAAAACTCTAGCTTCCAGGTGCACACGAGTCATCGTCCCTTGCATTCCCCCTGTTCCTGCCCATGCTGAGTGTACAGAGCACGTTGTTTGGTTGAATGGGCTGATTGAACACCTTCCTAAGTTCCATGCCAACATCCAGGTGGTCAAGTGGACGGAGAACATGGATGTCAGCTTCTTTGAAAGTGTCATGGGTCCCCCAGGCAACCAGCGGCAGGATCTTATCCACCTTAACTACAGAGGCCTGGAGCTGCTGAAGACTTCCTTGGACCAATCTATTTCGTCATTCCCTCCTTTGTAGTGTTGTAAATAATTAATTTTCTTCTTCCTCTTCTGTTTTGTGTTTTATGTTAGTGTTTTTGTTGATCCCAAACAATCCACAAGTTGGTATTATCAAAGTCATCTTCTGCGAGATTGATTATTAGAAATAGCTAGAGCCATTACGGTACAGCTCCTAATGATCTATCTACAAAAGCTGCTTTGAGTTCTGCTTGTTTTTCACTCCTGCTTGACTTATTTATTGGCTCCCTTTGGAGGTCTGGCTTAGTTCATTGCTCTTTCAGTAATTTTTTGCATCCAGTCAGTTGTAGCTTGTGGGTTGTTTGGAAATTTGGTATTGTTAATTTAATTAGTCTCTCTGGTCATGTTGTGTATGTTCTGACTGTTCTAAGTAATCTTCTGAGAGATTGATTATTAGAATAGCTAGAGCCATTTGGTACAGCTCCTAATGATCTTTCTACTGGATTTTGCTTATTTTTTGCCAATAAGTTTTCAGTAAATTGTGCACCTTTCTTTGGAAATTCTTTACTAGTGACGGCCAGCAGGTGCTTTCTTTTTGCTTATGCATGCCTACTTATTGGCAACATGAGAATCCTTTTAATAGCAGAGCTTCCAATCTTGCTCAGCTTGATCATTTCAAACTGATTACTTATTGGTAGCTAGTGGTAACCCAACCATAAATACTATTGCCGACAACTAAATGCAGCCTAAATTGCTGCACGGTTTTTCCAAATTTTAATGCAGGCTCCAAACAATGTTCAGGTGCATCAGCCTTTTGAAGTACACGCAAAAAAATAATTTTCATCAGAGCTAAAAAATTAGCACCCGCACCAATAAGATTAGCTCTATAGGCGCAGCTAATTTTTTAACTGTGTGGCTAAAAAGTGTTAGCTGGGCGATTCTAGCAACGGATCTAACGGCCTAGCTGGAACTGTAAGGAATCCTTAGCTGTAAACCAATCAAATCTTGCTGATGAACTACTCAAGTTGTTTGCCCCCTAGTTATTCCGAGATAAAAAGATGAAACCATCATTACGAATAATGTCTACTCCATGTGGTCTAACGGTCACGGACTCATCTTAGGTAGGACGGAGTCGTCAGTGACCCTTGACGCGCTCACGAATCACTCAGAATTGCCCGCTGGAGTCAAGTGTCACTCCAGCAGGGGAAGCGATCCGCCACCTGGCAGACAATCGTAGAAACGATGGCGCCCAGACTAAGTGAAAACGCATGCTACACTGTCACCGCGCGCGAGCGGCGGCGCGACGCGCGCAGCGCACTCTCGCGGCGACCTCCTCCACCGCGACGGTGACTGGACGACGATGACATCAACTGGTCTCGTCAGATCGCATTAGCTTGTTTACTAGAAATTTTTGAAGGCTTGCAAACAATAGTTAGCAGCCCACGACTAGCAGTATTAACAAACAAAATTGGCTAAATCCGCCACAAATTTGTGTTTTGCGAGAGTGGTTGCTTGGCAGGTAACCAGCTAACCATCTGGCCGCGCGCACCTGAGGTTGCTTGTAGCTGTGCTAGTTTTTTAGCGCCCGTGCTAAAAACGATCTGTTAAAAAAATTAGCACGGGTCTGATTTACATTTTTTTGCGTGTATGTGAACTTTGTTTGGATGACAGTCTCAACCCTGTGTAAATGCAGAGAGATCATGAAGTAAAATTCTTTTAGTACATTTTCTTTTTACAGTACATGTTTGTTAACTCAGTTTTTGTTTTTTGGCAGTACTCTGAAACTTTTCGAAGCTACCCTCCTGCTGCATTTGAGGTCACAGCAAAGCAATTTTGTGGTGAATCCCCGTCAAGATGAAAAGTTTTGTTTTTTATCATGTTTTGTTAAATTCCCAAAATACTCAGTATTTTTTTTTTGTTACTTGTAGTTTTCAACAAATAGAATCATAAAGCAAAGATTGTTTCATTCCTCATACCTGACCCAAAATGTTTACCAATACAGTTCTACAATTAAAATTACATTATATTGTGGGTGAAAGTGAAAACGAACTAAACTTATGATAGCTGTTTTTGAAATTTGGAGAAAAAAATCATTTTTTGGGGGCATGTTTGCTCGCTATACAACAGCAAACCTGTTTTTTTTTAAATAAAAAAGTCTACTTGTTTCTTAACACCCCTTTAAATTTCACAGGGGGGTACAAAGGATTTCTAGCGAGCATGTCAGAAAAAGGGGATTTGGGTTTTGTACTCAAGAAATATCAAAAAGCCAATCTCTTCTGAGAGTAAAAACCTCTGTAAATGAGTGCTAATAACTCTTAAAAAAAGCTGAAAGAAAAGGGTCTCAAACATTCTTGGTTTTAAATTTAAATTTTTCTAGGTCTTTTACTTTTCGACGCCCTGATGAAAGTAAAAATGCTCACCATGTCCCCACCCAACCTATCTAGTGAGAAGAAACTGTTTTGAATTTGCCGCTCTTTTAAAACCCACGCCTATTGGCTCCTTCCCTGCCAAGCCACGCCCATTGGTTCCTTCCCTCCCAAGCCACGCCCACTCGGGTTTAAAATTAAAAACTGGAACGTAAACCTGATGATTCTTATTTTTTCATCTGGATAAAGGTTTTATTTTTCCTTCTCTAAGAATATTTTTTCCCAAAAAGGGCCCAAAATTGGGTCGGGAAAACCCCTACTTTACGTAGGACACTATGTTGCCCCATTGTCAAACCGGTGATGGCCGGTCACGGCAACACTGTTTGTCCAAACTAAGGTAAATGACCCCACCCTTTCACTGGATTGAGCCGATGGGCTGTTCGATTTGGCGCGTTACTGATCGAAGAAGACTTCTGGACCCTTTTTTGTGGCATTAAGGGGGCTCATACATGTTAAACACATTTTGAAAAAAAATTTTTTTTGATGTAGATGGATTAAGATTTTAAAATTTTCTGGTTAAACCCCTTTTAGAAAATTTGAGTAAGCTTCTTTTGGGGCTTAAAGGAAAGTGACTTTTGGACATTTTTTTGGAATTTAGTCGAAACTTTTAAAAATTTTGGTTCTCGTAAGATTTTGATCGCAACTTGCTCAGATCTGTGGGGAAAAAATCAGGGAGACTCACCCCTAGTAGTGTCATAAAATTTTGACTACAATGGGCTTTATATCTGCAATAGTTTTCAAGAAAAAAAATAAAAACAATTTTTTTTTAAAAAAAATTTGTTAAAAAAATTGTTAAAAAAATTTTTTTTTTTTTTTTTTTCTTAAAACCCTATTGTAATAAAAAGCCCATTGTAGTCAATTCTTGACCCTACTGGGGAATGAGTCCCCCCTGATTTTTTCCCCCAGTCCGAGAAAGTTTTAAAAAAATTTTCAAAACCCAAAAATTTTAAACGTTTCGACTAAATCTCCAAAAAATGCCCAAAAGCCCTTTTCCTTTTAAACCCCAAAATGAAGCTAACTAAATTATCAAAAAGGGGTTTTTTAAACCACAAAAATTGTAAAATTTTGACCCCGTCTACATCAAAAAAAAATTTTTACAAAGTGCTTTTAACATGTATGAGCCCCCTTAAAGCTAACCTTCTCCCTTAATTTCATCGAGTATTATTCCATGTGGAATTTGTGGTCGGGGCGTTATAAAAAGTAAGTGAAATACGAGTCGGGACCCCCCGCAGCGCCATAGCAGCTAGGCGTCTAGGCTAGGTGCACCTGTTCTGTTGCTATGCTGATTTTCCCAAACAATTAATAGTTAGTTTCGAACCATAGGTGTGCATGAAAAAGGATTAGAACTGATAAAAAGTTTTTGTTTTGGTAATTTAGTATGTATATTTCATACTTCAACAATGGAACACAGTTTTCAAGTGATTCCTTCGATCGCTAAACAGTCTTCAACTAGTCTTTGTTAATATTTAAAGCATTAGTCAGTAATATAATATCTTGAGTACATTGATAGAGCAAGATGGAAAACGAGGAAATAAATAGGAGTGATGTAGCAGAAGTGGAAGAGTCCGTAGAGCTTCAGGACTCTTCAGACGATGACTTGATTCCACCTGGTTCCAAGTACCCTCGACAGTGTGAGTGCGGTCAAATGTATTCGACTAGGCAGAGTTATTATAAGCATCAGAAGAGCTGTACTAAAGAGAAGAAAGTTTCTATGTACCCAAGGAAGTGTGATGGGTGTGCGCTTGTTTTAGAGAACAAAGTCCAATTTTGTCGGCATAAAAAGAAGTGTAATGGCGGTGGGGACACCGAATTGAGACCAAAAGTTGTTTACCCCAGAGAATGCGAAAAATGCCACAACCAGTTCTCAACCAAACAAGAGTTTTCCCGTCACAAGAAAGTTGAGTGCACAGCCGAGGGTTTTACACTGAAAGTAGCCAAACACACACAATGCTTAGATCCAGGGTGCACACTCACATTTTATCATCGTACTGCAATGGTAGATCACCTTATCAAGGATCATCAGAAGGAGTTCAAAATTAGGCAGATGTCATTCAAAACAATGGCTGAGTTTACAGCTTGGAAGGATGAAGTTGAGGCAGAGTCATGGACCTGCTTTAGAGCTCCTTATGGAGCTAAGTGCAATGAAGAGGGCACTTCTAAGTATCGCTACTTTACATGCCAATTTGATGCTCCTGAAAGGAAAGACGATAAGGAAAAGTGCAAAAATAAATGGAAATGGGAAAAGGGACGCATTCCAACAGAGGTGCATTGTCCTGCACGAATGCTGGTGACTGAAACGGAGGGTCAAATTGGTGTTAAATTTATAGAAACTCACAACCATCCTTTAATTTTTCACCATACTGTTTTGCATAGGGTTCAGCTCACCACAAGACACTTTATTCAATCTTGTTTGATCACTGGTATGGCGCCAGCAAAAATTCTTGAGCTTTTGAGAGGTGATGTTGGTGAGCTGGGCAATAGGGACCCAAATCAGAGACCTAAAAAGGAATTTTTCATTACCTTGCAGTACATCAAACACTGTAAATCCAGAATTAAAGCTCAAGGAAGACTACACAAGGAAGATCACATATCAGTGGATATGCATGTGAGAAATTTGATGCACATTGGCCGATTTGAAGTAGATGGAGTAAAGAATGATCGCTATGATGGATTTGATGATGGGAACTTTAGCCCAATTTTAGTTTACAAACCTCAGGGCAAACCAGTGGTAGTTGGGCATCCTAACTTTGATTGCATAAAAAACAGTGCAGAACTATTTATTGTTGGTTTTCAAACTAAAGAGCAGTTAGATGTTATGAAAGAGGGTTGCAAAACTGTTTTGTGTATAGACTCCACATACTCCACAAATGAGTATGGGTTTTACTTAGTTAACATGGTAGTTCAAGACCCGTATGGACAGGGGTACCCTGTTGCTCATTTCATCACAAATTTTCAAGATGAGGAAACATTGGCTCTTGCCTTTGAGAGCATTAAATTCAGGTGTCCGAACTTGGAAGTCAATCTTCTGATGACTGACGATGATCAGGCAGAGTATAAGGCCTTTTTATTAATTTTCCCTGGGACGAGACATGTTCTCTGTACGTGGCATGTCCGAAGAAACTGGAAAAAAAATAGGGCCATCAATAGGAGACAAAGAGTTGAGGAGACTTATTAACCATAGTTTAGCAGTTCTGATGTATAAAAAACATGAGCCAACGTTCCAAACTTTGCTTATAGGTTTCATTGCTCAGTTTAAAAGTAGGTGCCCTGTTTTCATTGAATATTTTGAAAAGTATTACAAGGAGAGGCCATCAGTTTGGGCTTTGTGCTATCGTAATTTCCCACATGGAAACACTGACACCAACATGTATTGTGAGTCACTGCACAACTTACTGAAAACATATTACATGGAGAGAATTCAGAACAAGAGAGTTGATGACCTTACACAAATAGTCCTTAGAATGGAAAGAGACTATTTCATGAAACTGTGGAAAAATAAGGCTGAGGGGAAAAGGGAGAAATAAGTGTCACAGTGACACAGAAAAGGAAACACACTAGAGGGATAGCTATTAAGGATGAGGATGTGACTCATATTAAGGGTCATGTCTGGGCTGTTAGGTCTCAGGATGAAAAGAAGAAGGATTCGGATGAAGAATACTTTGTGGTAAAGCATAATGAAAAATGTCCCGTGGACCACTGCTTTGTCCAGTGTGTCACACAAGCATGCAAAGGTTTGTGTGAACATTTGTATACTTGTACTTGTCCTTGTCCTGGGGGAATGTGTAAACACATCCACAAAGTTCACTCTATCTTTCTCAGAGAGACTTCAACCACTAACCATACAGACAGGGAGGGGGAAATTTTTTTATGCAGAGGAGGGTGGGAATTTGCATTTAACAAACCCAGTAGAAGTGGAGGTACACTCCAAAGAAGAAAAAAATAGGAAAAACGTTGAAGAAGTTCAATCTCTTTGTGAAATTTTAAAAGATAGATGTAGTAAGCCAGAAAATTTTAAATTCTTCGACCACATAAAAACACAGTTACAGCAGATGGAAGCCATGACAAGAAATACAAATAAACAAGCCCCTGTAGTAGAGATGGGAACTAAATTTCAACCTACTATGTCTGTAAACGGACCCCAAAAATGAGTGACTCAAAGTGATCTTAAATTTAAGAGAACTGCCTTGAAACCTAAACCAACTGATACAGTAAATAAAAATCCAACATACCAGGAAAAGAAAAATATTAAAGTTTCTCTTTTAAGTTTAGCAGGTAGGGCTACTTTAAAACGCCAAAGAAATGAATTTGTTCAGAGCAGTTCCCCAAATGACATAGAGAATAGTGACCCCTCTAATTCAATGTTACCAAATCTTCCAACAAAACAGGCTAAATTGTCTACAGTAAAGCAGGAAGTTTTCGACCCCTCTAATTCAATGTTACCAAATCTTCCAACAAAACAGGATAAATTGTCTAAAGTAAAGCAGGAAGTTATCAACCCCTTTAATTCAATGTTACCAAATCTTCCAACAAAACAGGCTAAATTGTCTACAGTAAAGCAGGAAGTTGTCAACCCCTCTAATTCAATGTTACCAAATCTTCCACCAAAACAGGCTAAATTATGTACAGTAAAGCAGGAAGTTATCACGCCAAAATTAGCGACTGTTGATATGAAGCCGAACATCACTTCTGTATTCCGTGATCAGTCTCAACTTAAAACTAACAAAGAGCTTTCATTCACACCAAAATTAGGTTTCGCTAATACAATTCATGACCATGTGCTTTTCTTTGGCAAAAAAAGCAGTATAACATTTGTAGCATTAAAAACTTTAGATCCGCATATTAGTGATGCTGAAAGTTCATCTTTGATAACTTTAGGTTATCGATTTACTAGGGGATGGCTACATGAGGATGTCATTGGTGCTTACCTCTTTCACTTGTGTTCTGGCAATGACAAAGTTCATGCTCTAAGGTGCTGCTTTGCCAATATACTGAACACAATGTCAGACAGCAGAGAGGCAAGAAAGCTTCTCATTGACCAAATTTCGGAGTCTGTTGAGACACTCTTGATCCCTACTAATCTCACCAACCTCCATTGGATTCTTGTAGTTGTGAAACCAAAGCTTGGGGAAATCCATGTGTATGACCCTGCAGACAAAAATTGTGGAAAGATTTATTTTGGCCTTTTCCCCAAATTGACAAAACTTGTTAATGAGGAGTACAAAATTTCAAAAACATGGGGAGTCAGATGCCCAACCCATATAGAGCAAAAAGATTTGATAAGCTGTGGGGCATTTGTCTGCTTTTATGCCAAAGAAATAGTTCATGAGAAAAAATCACTGACAGTAGATATAGATGAGTTCAGAAAAAGCATTTATCTAGTTATAACAGGAAATTGCCTAAGAAATTTAAACTATTCAAACAAAAAATGTGTTAGTTGCAGAAAAAATGTACCCAAAAAGCATGTGATATGTCAAAATTGCCACCAACCATACCACATTTCATGTCTCTTAACGAAACACCCCAATTCTAACATACAGGTCGGTTCTGAGTACAGATGCACATGAGTGAATTAGGTAACTGTCTCTGAGTGGTGGACTGATAAGAATAGCTAGAGCCAAAATGGTACAGCTCCTCATCAGTCGGCCAACAAAGGCAGGCAACCAGGTCAGCTTATTCACAATCCTACAGCATTCACAACCAATGTCTTTGAGTGGTGGACTGATAAGAATAGCTAGAGCCAATACGGTACAGCTCCTCATCAGTTGGCCAACAAAGGCAGGCAACCAAGTCAGCATATTCACAATCCTACAGCATTCACAACCAATGTCTTTGAGTGGTGGACTGATAAGAATAGCTAGAGCCACTACGGTACAGCTCCTCATCAGACCGCCAACAAGGGAATAAACAGGCAATAAAGTTTGCATGCTCACAATACTAAAGTATTCACAACCTATGTATTTGAGTGGTGGACCGATAAGAATAGCTAGAGCCAATATGGTACAGCTCCTCATCAGTCAGCCAACAAAGGCAGGGAACTTTTCAATTGGGCTGTGCACTCAACATGGTTAAACTAGTCATTATAATTAAGAAACTTAGTTATTTAATACTCTTGTAATGTTCCTGTAAATATTTTTGTACATACACACATTGCCTAGTCAATAATTTGTCCTATTATTTTTACTTAGTTGATTCAATTCTCTTGTAATGTTCCTAAAATTGTATACGCATATATAGCCTAGTCACAAATTCAAATAATTTGTCCTGTTATTTATTGCCAAATATTCTAGCAAGTAAATAATCCAAACATATGTTATGTAAATAAAATAAAGTAAAGATAGAAATAGAAGGAGTGATTAGAAACATTGAATTAACTTGTGTTTATGTTGCAGGTCATCTCATCTGCTCCACTCCAGCAAAAGTAAGAATTGTGTTTAAAACTAAACACAATCCCTACTAAAATAAGAGTTATGGTTTGTTTTTTCTTTAAAATAAACATAATTCTTGTTTGACTTTTTCTGAATCCTCCACCTTCAAGTGGAGGTTAACTGAAACACCAAGCTTCATTATTTGGCTTCCTTTTATTAAACTCACCGGCATAAAGTGAAGCTTGGATGTGAATTATGGTAAATTACCAAACTAAACAGCCAAAATTGCTGTACCTTTATTCCAAATTTTAATGCGGGCTACCAAATCAGACATCTCTTGACAAGGAAACTCTTAAGGGTGTAAATAAAATCCAGAGATTGTTCGTCCTCGCCACCGTTAAAGTATCACAGGTGTCAATTGATTCAGTAAGAATTCTATGAAAAGCTATGACCATATAATATTAAATTATTTTAATTATTGAAATTCTTGTATTCCATTTCAAAGTTTATTGTAATGAATCACCTTTCTTAATGCACCATTTTGCCCTTTTGAAATCGTATGGATGAAGAAAATCTGGATTTGACACCAAACACCGTTCTATTGTGGAATGTCAGATTTGATAGGCAGTGTCAACCCTGCATAAACGCAGAGACAGCTTTAAATTATTTTTTAATCCTTTATCTTACTTAATTTTTAAGGTTGAATTTGAATGAATCATTAAATTTTGTGAAAGGAATTATAATGTTTGATTACACCAACATCCTGACCCCAACAGAATGAAGCCATTGTAATTGTACCATACTTACATAGCAGAACATATATTGCTTTGAAAAAGTATTTATTCGTCTGGGAAATTCAGTGAAGCAATTCTAGTCCATCTTCTGGTAAGGAAAAATTGTTCAGCATATCATGAATCAAGAAGTACGGTTTCACAGTGGTCAAAGTTGCTACTACATCTGCAAGATAATAAATGCAAGACGTCACTACACATGTCGTCATAATGAACAAATGCAATGTGAAAATATTTCAAAAGAAAATGTAACACATACATGAGAGTTCTGCTGTTGTGGCAGAGGTTAGTATTTGTTTGTGTGGGAAATTTGGTGAAGCGATTCAAGTCCATATTCTGGAAAGGAAAAATTGTTCAGTATATCAGGGATCAAGAGGTACGGTTGATATTGGGCAAAGTTGCTAGATCTGCAAAATAATAAATTCAAGACGGCGCTACACATGTCGTCATGATAAACAGAAGCAATATGAAAAGATTTCAAAAGAAAATTTAACACGTACATCATACGTGATTGTTCTTCTGTTGCTGCAGAGGTTACGTTCTGTTAGAGGAGAGAGGAGACTTTTCTTCATGGCTGAAGCAGAACATGAAAAATAGTCCTCGGTAGTATCGTCAGTGTCTTTTGGAAACGATAGAATTTTAATTAATGAACCAATTTTATGAGGTATTATGGTTAGAGGCATTACCCGTGTAAACGTGAGGTGGGAGACGAAGATCTAATAGGTCTATTTAATAAACACGAGGATGTAATCTTATGAATCAATTTAGAATTTACTTCCTGTTTTCATGATAATTTTACTATTATTTGAATCTAATGATAATAATAACAACACTACATGAGGTGCTCAAGTCTTGTTGTCGAAAACGGCCACCAGAGCGCGTTACCCGAGCGTCATCCCCGAGGTTTCACATCCGGTCGCATCCCTGCAAAATCGGACATTACTGGGCCGGCCCAGAGGGGAGCGGGGAGGGAACAGGGAGCGGAGCGGAGAGCGGTGCGGTAAGGTGGGGCCAGGCGGAGCGCAGCAGACAGACCGAACAGTTTTTCGGCCACAGCTCGAAAACCGTTCAAGTTAGAGTGGTACAGTAAGTGAGCCGATTGTAGCTTGTACAGAGACCTACAATCGGCTCGCTTACTATACCCCTCTATCTAGAGCGGTTTGGAAGCTGAGACCGAAAAACCTTCTCCAGCCGTTAGGTGCGTGCGCCGCCATTTTGTCCGGAATATGAGACAGCTCTCCGGCCGCGCGCGAGGAGTATGAGAAACTGTTGGTGCACTTATCGGCGCCCGCGCTTTTCCGTCAGTCTCTAGGTCTCTACTTGCCGGGTCTCGGGGGGGTCGGGTCGGGGCCGGGTCGGGGCCTAGGGGCCGGGACTTCGTCGGAGTCTAGGGAAAGGCATCATTCTCGGCCGCCACCGCACGTCAGCACTCCAGCCCTTCTCCAAAGTCCGCACCCGTCCGCATCACCAAGAATCGGTATGGTGCGCTGCCGGGTGATTCCGCGCGTAGAGGGCGTTTTCGTGTCCACACCCTCCCCAGGGCAAATTTATTCGAGTGCAGCCCATTTATGCACTTAAGAATCTTTTTTGGCACCAGACTAGCTTGTTCCCTTTGTATATGGACTTTCGAAGCCAACATGTGACGCGGGAGAGGGGCCAAAAGGGTCGATTTTGTAAGTTCCGTCATGTCCATTCGCACCTTGCACCAACTTTGCGGCTCTGTAACCATTTGTTCCATTCTAATCTTCGAATTTCACACACACCCATCAAATCTCTAACGTGTAGTGACTATCTTGCTTGAATTTTAAGATCGTATATTGATTGGAAGTGTCCTTTCAGAACGCGTACAAAATGTCCACCGTACTCCGACTTTTGACTTAGTAGTTTCAAAGTTACCACCATAAAAACTACTAGGAGTGCTCCCTGCTGAAAACCACCGCCGTATTTAGAATCAGCACGGTCTGTTTACCCTATGAACGAATCCCGGTGGCGAAAAAGTAAGGGGGCTGTGTGTGCGAGTGGAAGTTGTGTGTGAAAACGGTGGGTTGTAACAATTGATGTAATTTCCGTATGCCCCTCTCACCCCTCTCCTATTGGGTTAAGAAAGTCATCCTACACGTGAAAGGGCGTGTCTTGACGTCGGACTAGTGTGCCAAACTTAAAGCATATTTCTGAGGCGATGGGCATTTGTAGTGAGCTAGAAACATCTGTTTGTAATTTCCGTCGAGCGTAATTTCCGTCATATTTTCAGTAAATTTCGTCATATTTTATAGGGGGAGAAAACGAAAGTCAACTTGTAGCTCGCCCACGCTCACAGTGTCGTCCTGGTGTCCTATTGACGCCATCTAGGCAAAATTCAGGCCGAACAAGCAAGATTGATTATGTGACTTCCTAAGGTGGCTAAAACGGCCCCTACGTACGGAATCACCCTGCCGTGGCCATTTCCGCAGCTTAAGGCGGTTCCCCGGTGGTTTTCCGGCGAAATTTTGGTTCCCCGGGTGTTCTCCGGGAGTTCCCCGGGTGTTCCCCGGGTGTTCCCCGGTAGTTCCCGGGGAGTACCCGGGTGGCCCCCGGCAATTCTCCGATGGGCGTTTCATCTCGGGCAGCCAGACCCTTCGCAAGGAGATGCGACAAATACAGCGGCGTCAGGCTGGTGTTAAGGACTGGCGGGCGGCGTTCCGGGCGCTAGAAGCTGGGACTCCAGGGCGCCCTTCTCTCATGATCATAGATAGATGCCATTATAGTGAGTGTAAACATATCTCTATGGGCCAGACGGAGTTTATCAAAGAAAAAACCACCAGGTTCCTTGCTGCTTCTCATTCATCATACACGTTGCAGTTGCCGTTCTCACTATGACCATATGGGTTGACGTTGACAGGGTCGATGGACATTCCACATGAGAAACAGAACACTTGGCCACACGTGCACTCAATTTTGTTACAACCGGCACTTTTCTGTTCGAAAAAAAAAGTGGTTTTACTTGCCTCAAGATGACCTTAGTCCCAACAAGTTAACATATTAAGTATGCATCAAAAAGTAACCGACGATTGGCACGCCATTGTCTGCCGAAGGCAGGCTAGCGCCGCAGGCCAAGGTAGGCACGCCAGGCGCGGATTGGAGGAACAGGCCGCGAGATACCGCGAAGCCTGTTACGACAAGACGCGGTCTGGCGTAGACCTACCTTGTGAAATAACATCTTCATGGCGCTACGAATGCAATAGAAGTGTTATTGCTTTTCCAGGACAACCAGTGTCTTGGAATCCGGTAATGTGATGGTTCAAAATACCAGTTTTCACTGTAGGTCAATTCACAGCGTTTACTGTGATCTGCTCACGGGATTCACTGTGATCTTGTTCACGGTGTTCTCTGTGATCTGGTCCCCAGTAAACACTGAGTTTGACGCCGCTGAGCACCGAAGTACTGCAAATCAGGCTCCAATTCACGGCGTTTACTGTGGCCAGATCACAGTGAACACTGTGACCGAGATCACAGTGAACGCCGTGAACTAGTTCACAGCAAACGCCGTGAATTGCATAACAGCAAACATTGGTAATAAATAAACGGCGTTGACAGGACATTTTTTGTAGAGTGGTTGCCTACCCGCAGCGCCGCAAACATGCCGGATGGAATGATTTCATTACTTTTTCTCTCATGTTCGGGGCTTCTGGAATCCGATGTTGTGGTGGTTGTTCGTTTATAAGCCAGCTGGTTATTTGAGTGGCCGACTATTTATTCAAGATTTTGCGGCCGAATGAATTTGAACCAGCAGGGCCTCAAACGTGCCGCATCAACCGATCTCATCGCGTTTTCTTGCGAGTTCGGGTGTCATGCAATCCGGCATTGTGGTGGTTCAAATTCATTCGTGCTCTAGATGTTAAACAACTAGGGGTAGGTTGGGGAAGAAAAGTACAGAGTATGAAAAGTACACCCCCACTGTGAGAAAAAAGTACGGAAAAAGTACGGAACATGTCTGGTCAATAATTTGCCTGGACCGTCCGTACTTGTCAACTACGGAACGTTCCGTACTTTTTTCCGTATTCATTTACATCCCGACGGGCATGATTTCAGGAAATTACGTTGTCACAACGTGTCTTACGTTGGCCTTCGTTACGGGCCGTTTTCGTTGTCTGGCGTTGTTATGGCAACCATGCCACATGCGATGGTTGGCCAGATCACGTTGTGCCTGACTTAAAAAAAAGCAAACGCAGCTACATCTTAAAGGAAACGTCGTAGTTGCGTTGTCGCAACACTCACGCCCGTACGCAATGGTGTCCACGTTGCTGCAACGCTGCTGCGACTAGTGCATCGTAACCATACCCAGTATTGTCACCACAACGTAACAGCCATGTGTTCCGTCTCACGTTGGTGTGGACGCCTCTCCACAACGTTCAATTCCGGGCCTTCCCTGTACGTCTCTGCGGCAGCCAAACGGCAACGACATTGCCACCTTTGGGGTCTGATGTGCTGGTGCTTTGGTCGCCGCAACGTTGCCCCGACGTAGCCTGGACGCTGTTGCCCCGCCGACGTTGCGGCCACAACGCTGCTCCTACGCAGCTATGGCCACTATCGGTCAACATAGCGACAGCCAAACTAGCCTTCAGTGTAGCGAAGTCACGTTGCCAAGAGATTGAGTCAATGTCGCCGCGTCTAGGTAGGCTATGAAATGGCGCCTCTACGTTGTCGTGCCAACGGCGCTCTGGCCATCACATGGCAACGTAATGGCAACATAACGGGGAATTAGTTTGTAGCACTACTCATGCTGTAACGTTACGGCAACGAAGCCACACACACGTGAAAGTGCTAACGTCACTCCAACGACGACGCGCTTACGGTGCCCTGGCATTAAGAAAAGCAACGTTGGGGCAACATAACGGAAAACAAGTCTGCAGCACTGCCACTCCTGTAACGTTACGGCAATGAATCCCTCATAAAGTGGATGTGCTAACGTCACTACTACGCTGTTGCGCCGACCACGCCATGGCCGCCACATGGCAACGTTGGGGCATCATTACGTTCAACAAGTACGCAGCACTACCACTGCTGTAACGTTACGGCAACGATGCCCACATCTCGTGGAAGTGCTAGCGTGACAACAACGATGTCGCATCGACCACGCCCTGGCCGTCACATGGCAACATTAGTGCAACATAAAGGAAATTAAGTCGGCAGCACTGCCACTCCTGTAACGTTACGGCAATAAATCCCTCATGACGAGGTTGTGCTAACGTCACCACTACGGTGTTGCACTGACCGCGTCCTGGCCGTCACATGGCAACGTTGGGGCAACATGAAGATGTTCATGTCGAATATTGCACCTAGGAGGGCAGAGTTAAAACCCGAGTGGAGCGTCTCCACACCCTCAGATTCTTATATGATGAAAGGGCCATTGTAACATACGTTGAAATGAGAACATACGTACTACAATCAAATTCATGCGTAATACGATGACATACATGCGTAATACGATGAAATTCATGCGTATTACGATGAAAAATTAAGCATATTACGTATGTGCAAATTTATGCGTACCTTACGATGAAAAACCATCGTATTACGTATAATAACAGGAAAAGTAGCGATATACATCGGCAACTTTGGCCCGTCCCGTTCATCAGGGAATGTGCGAATTTCGCCTATGTTTAATCCTGACGGGATTTGAACCTGAGTCTGGGGTCAAAATAAATGGTATTTTCGTCATCAGCGCCCTCAAAAACACACTGTTAAAAAATTCGGATTGAAATTTCA